GAACTAAGACCTAGAAAATATAATTTATTCCACAACAATTGATGAGAAACGGATGGGAAAGCCCCTTTAAAATCTATAAAAATAGCATAAACTACTGCCCTCGGGTGAGACAAATGAATTTGTAAAATAGACATAAGGTTAAATAGATTATCGCGGCAACTTCTACCCTTTCTAAAACCTGCCTGAGATTCTGGAATAAGATTTAAGGACTCAACCCAAGAAATAAGTCGATCATTTATAACCTGGGTAAAAATTTTGGCTATACAATTTATCAAAGTTATTGGCCTGTAGTTCTCTGGAATTGAAGAGTCTCCTTTCTTAAGAAGCATAAAAGTAGTTAGGTTGCCCCAGTCTTTTGGAACTCTTTCACATTCCAAAATTTTATTAAACAGGTGATTCAAATATAGGATCCAATTCTGAGGCAGGTTCTTAAAGAAACTATAATCAACCCCATCCAAACCAGGGGCTTTCCCATTCTTACATTTAGCCAAACTCAAAACAACTTCATCAAATGTTATTGATTCATCAAGTTGTGGAATTGAACGTCTCAATATAATTGTCTCTGTAACTGACTTAGGCTGTGGGTAACAATTTTGTAAAAAACGTTGCCAAGTGTCAATGTTTACAATTGATCGTTGGGTAGTATGAGTCCTAGAGCTGTTAATAATTCTCCAAAACTCCGAGGGATTCTTGCAGTGACTCACAGCCTCAATACGATGTAAATCATAGTCTCTCTTCTTCCTTTTAAGAGTTTTCAACAAATTGTATTTTTCTTTATAATAAATTTTTCTCGAAGAATCAAAAAAACCATTTAATTTACACATCTTAAAAGCCTCCGAGACACGTTTTTTCATTAATTTGCACTCAACATCAAACCATGGTTTAAACCTAATACCTTTTCTAGAAAAAGGTTTCTTTGACATATTTAAGTTCAATGCAACCTCTCGTATCGTACTTATGATTGTTAGGTTCAAATTGTCTATATCAAGATTCACATTAGCCACCGCATCTTTCCAAGCCATCGTTGAAAAGTACAAATCTGTATTTTTTGAGTTAAAACGCAGTTTCTGAATATAATTAAATTTCGGCTAAGAATTTTTATAGTTAAGATAATTAAAATATTGACGAGAATTCAACTTAAAACATCAAGGAAATAAATCTCATTTTTAAGAATTTTAATTTTTCAAGGTTTTGTCCTAAAATTCAAGGCGTTTTCAAGGTTTTCAAGAAGCAAAAAAAATTCAATGATATTTTTAAAGGTTTTCAAGGTAGCTGGACAACCTGTTAAACATCCCTTTAAATCATAAATCCTAAAAAATAAGAAATTAATAAATAAAATTAATACTAATTTTTAAACCCCCAATTTTTTTTGTAAATTTCTATAGTTTTGAGTCAGAAGTTGTTTAATTTTTGTATAGTATTATATTTAGTTTTGAAAAAGGAAATATAAGTTACCTTCATCATTATTCTTATTAAACTCTAAACCATCAAATTCTCCTTCTTGTTCTTCTGCAAATGCATTGTTGGATGATTTAATTTTCATATTTCATTTTTTAGCAATAAAGAAATGTATCAAGTTTGTTAATTAAACAATTAACAAATAATTATAAATAAATAAATATAAATTATAAATAAAAAATAATTAATTAAATTTCGTATTTAACGCAATTTTCACTAAAAAAATTTCTTGATTTGAATTCCTATTAAAATCAATTTTAAAGACATTATTAGAAACAATATTTGGTTTTTTAATTAATTAGTATAAATATAAATTATTAAATTAAAAATAAAATTCTATAGAAATAATTGAATAAGAGATATAGAAATCTACTTCAATGAAAATTTTGGTTTTCTCGGGAATTATTATTAAAAATGTTAATCTATATTAAAAATTTGTTTGTTTTTCTAACTGCATTGACTTCTAATAACTTTTTTAAAGAATAAATTATCAGACATTTACTTTTTTCTCAACTTGTAGCGATTCTGATAGAAAAAATAAACATAACCTATAATGTTCCCCTTTTTGTAAAAATACGTTTTCAAAGTTCTATAGCTTAAAATATATACAAGTATATTTTTATAGCTTGCATATACATACAGTTAAAACAATTAAAATAACATTCTATCATTTATTTGTGCAATACATTTATAAAATTGGCTAGATATGCATTCGTGTGATGTTTCATTTCTTCGCCAACAAAACTTTTATAATACAGTAATGAACTTTTAAAACTTACCACTTTCTTCTTCATCGCAAATAGAAGCATATTTTTCGGCAATTTCATCCCAAACTTTTTGTTTTTTTACATTATTTCTATAATCATCGAGCTTTTTGTTATATAGAATAGGGATTTCTCGACTAAGGCCATAAGTACTATATTTCTATCCATACTAGGAAACTCTTCATCCATCATTGTAATGAATTAAATTTATATCAACTGAAAAAGCTTCCAAGTAAAATGAATTTAATAATGTAAATAACTAGTGTTAATAATTATCGAAGAAATGTTACACTCATTCATAGATTGTGTCAGTACGAATTCTTAGGTTGAAAGGCAAAGTGGCATTCACACTGCGTATGCATCGAATAAAGGCGCACTCACAGCTAGTAGGCAGCAATACAAATTTGAATTTACTGTCTCTTTCACTCTAATTGACTTTCTCTCTTACTCCAATTACTGCCTGCGCAGGCAGGCAGAGCTGTGAGTGCTCCATAACTATTCCTTATTGGTTTTCAACATTTTGTCCAATTTGAAGAATGGTGTTGAAAATTATCTATTTATAACTATATATAGTCTAACCTTTCATTGAACATTTTTGTTTACTTTTTGATCAATAGAACAGCTTTTGCAACCCGATCCAATTTTTCTTATTGTCATTTTTTAAGTTATGTAAACTTTATTTTTGTGTAAAATTGTTATTCGTATAGTGTAACATGGACATAGTTCCTGCTTTACATACTTCTTTGACTCTTTTAAGAATATTAAGAAAATATATTGAATTAAAAAAAAAGAAGAAACATTTGCGCAGATGGTGGGTAAAACCACATATTAAAGTAAATGTGCGAAATAAGTATGGCGCATTCACAACTCTTTTTGCGTATTTCAAGTCTCAGGATCATGAAGAATTCCATAAAGTGTATCGAATGACTGTTAAACAGTTTGATGAATTATATGAAATGATTAAATCCAGTATTAAAAAATCGGACTTTCTTCGAGAACCTATAGATCCTGAATTAAAATTGGCAGTTACTTTACAGTAACTATTTTTAAGTACTTTTTATTATTTTGTTAGCATTCTTTAAAATTACGTTTCAATTTATTATTTTAATGGAAACTTAAATAAAAACACGACAATAATATTTTAATATATTACAGGCTTGGAAACTCATCTACTAAAATCTACTATTTACTATTTTTGCTTTCTCGTGAGGAAGCTTTGTAGTCGTTTAATTTAAAAAAGTTTTAAAAATCCTTTTAACAAATTTCCTTCTATATGGGACTATGTTATATAAGACCCTGAACAATTGTCCGGATGTATGTGTGTGTGTGTGTGTGTGTGTCCTTCCTTTTGCGAACACTATAACTCGAAGAGGTTTTAACGAATTTGTCTAAAATTTACCAGGTATATTTATCATAAGAATATCTCAAAATGGATGGACTTTAAAAAATTCTCAGAAAATTTTTTTTTTACTTTTATATAAAAAAATTTTTTTAGTTGGTTATTTAAGTTAATATATAATAAAATCTTATTCTTTGCATCAAGACGAATCGATTATAGAAATTATAGAATTAATTACAATTAAAGTTGAAAAATTCACTTTTTTACTAAAAATTTGTGAATCATGCTTCCTCCACGAGGAAGCAAATTTTTTGCTTATCGTACAGAGGAAGTAAAATGTTCATGTAATGAACATCTCGATTTACAACTTGTTTTACATTATGATATTACTTTGGTTCGAAAGAAATAAATTATTTTAAGTTTAATTTAATTTTTGCAATATAATTCAATTCTTCTAGATTATAATAAAATTCTTTCAAAGAATTAAATTACAGTAAATTAAATTACAGTAGAGACTCCATTATCCGGACAAATTTAAAATTAAAATTCTTTTTTTAATATAAAGTTTATAAGGTCTCAAGCCGTTAATTAACTTCTATTTTAAATTTATTTACACGAAATGATGCGTTTTAAAGTGTTCTAATTATTTTAAGAAAATGTTTATGTAAATATTTTGAAATATTTCTAACTAAATATTTAGTAATGTTGACTTTAAAAGTTTTAGTTAGTTTCAGTCTTATTTTAATACATATGTAAATAAATACATAAAATTATGAATCAAAAATTTGTTTAATTCGTACTTTACTCGATTATCCGGACAAGTGCCTGCATCCATTAGTCCGGATAATGGAGTCTCTACTGTATTTACATAAAGAATTTTTCGAAAGAATACAATTATTTTTAAAAAAATTGTAATAAAATCGTTCTCAAGAATTATCAATTATGTTCATAAATAATAAATTCTTTTGAGGAATTAAATTGTTTTCAAATAAAAAGGCACACAGATATTTAATAATTATTATCAACAATTTTAATAGAATTCTTTGTAAAATTTAAATATTTTCAATAACTTTTCTCAATTCAATGATTTTTAATAGTAACTATCTTCATAAGATTTCCAAACAGAATTCAATTATTTAAAAAATTCTGTGTAAAAATTTTATTCTTAAGAATTTAATTTTATTAATGAATAATAAAAATTTTGCAGGAATTTAATTATTTAAATTAGAATTTGCATGAATTTAGTTCAAAGAAATCTATTATTTAAAATTTTTTATGAAATTCTTCGAAAAAGTTAAATAATTTTTATAAATACTTAAAGTCGTCGCAGTAATTCAATTTATTAGGGGGATAAGAAGAAAGTAAAGTTTTGATAAAAATGAGAACAAAATCAGCAAAATAAAATTTGGAATGGAATTTTTGTCAGTTTTGCGAAGTATCTAAAACGAGTTTTTTTGGTCGTTAAGTTTAATTTTGTGATGGCTACTTTTTAATACTTTTTAAAATTACTTATCTAGTGCAAAGTCTGATATTATTTAGTTGAATGTAGATGAAGTACTGGTGAATTAAGATTATTTAAAGTTTATTAAACCTATTAACATACACTTAAAAAAGTATTGTACATTTACAAATATATTTCAGTTATAAAAAATTCTTTTTTTGTAGTTTTTTAGCACATGGTGACAGTGTTTCTACGCTATCAAAAATGTACTTCATAGGACTGTCTACACTATACGAAATTATAAGTGAAGTATGTGAACAAGTATGGAATATTTTGTCACCAATATATCTGCCAGAAAGGCAAATTGCAGATTGGATTGAAATAGGAGAAAGGTATGAAAATCGTTGGCATTTTCCTAATTGTCTGGGGGCACTAGATGGAAAACATATAAGAATTAGTAAACCCCCACGATCAGGTTCAGCCTTTTTCAACTACAAGAAGTATTACAGCTTCGTATTGATGGCAATCTGTGATCCAGAATATCGTTTTACTTGGATTGACATAGGGGACTATGGTAATTACTTGTTTCGTCAAAAAATTTTTTTTTATTAAAATGTGTAATCAGGTTTGACATATATTAGAAAATTCTGGAAAAAGTAAGAAAAAGTGAAAATGTTCAGAAAAATCTGAAAAAGTAAGAAAATATTTAGAAAAGTATAGAAAAAATATTAAACTTGTACAATTCCAAAGAAAATTTTCGTTTTCAATGTCAATTAACCTTTAAAAATATTTTTAAAAAAACATTAAATTTTTGAAGAAATATTATATTCTTTTTGAATTTTTTTCATTTACTTAAAAGATTGAAATCACCATGATATTTAATGCAAAACTGTTTACTAGTTATAAATAGCAAACTTAACAAATTTTCTATTTCTGGCTGAAGTTTTTTAAAGTAATAAAATTTTTGGAGTTAAATTGATTACTTCTCTATTGGCTATTTGTCCCACTAAAAGGACCAGAAGCCATTTAATCAAAAGAAATAAAGAGAAAGATTAAATTTATGACTTCGAAATTATTTGAAGAATAATTCTATGCAGACATTTAAAAAAAATAGAATTTTCGAAGAGTTGGGGAGCAAGTCAAAAAATGGAGACAAACATCCTAAGTATAATGTTTTAAGGACTACACAAAAATCGACCTATCTCTATTCAATTTGAAAAAATTTATTAATTTATTATCAATTTACAATTCTAAATTTTTCATTTAATAGACTTTTAGCGTAACTAAGATGACTTTTGATTTTTATATTTTCTGTAAGAAAACATTATTAAAATATTTAAATCACTTAATTGTGACAAATATCTATCATATAACAAGATTTCTTTATATCTTTATTTGTCAAAATAAAGATCATTTGTAATTGCTTTTTAATACGTGAGACATAATAGTTATACATAAACAGTTACTTTTTTAAAAGTATATAATTTTTAAAAAAAACCTTTTTTCATTTTTGAACTTTGAATTTTGAGAAAGCTGTAATTATTAAATAAATAAGTGGATAATGTAGGTCTCTAAATTCCTATATTAGTCTCGTTTAATTAAAAACAAATTGTTTCAAATATAAAAACATTTTTATAAAAAGTTAATTTTTACAAAATTTGTTTCAAAATTAATTGTAGTGGGAAAAGTCATCTATTTCTTATTCGCGACATAGGAAAATATGAATTTATCAAGATTTGAAAACTTGCTACTCAATTACGTTTATATTTTTTATAATTATTTGAATTTATTTGGATTAAGGGCATTCAAATCCTGCAAACATAAATTATTAATATTTCTATTTTTTTTAAATACAAAATAAATGTTGATATAATTACGGGAAATTATATTATATTACACTATACTATATTTAAAGAAAAAATATTGCAGGATCTTTGAATGATGCAAGTGTGTTCAATGCTTCGGGATTTGGTCAAGAATTAGAAGCAGGAAGATATCCTCTTCCTGAAGGAAAACCTTTATCAGGAATGAATGAACAAATTCCGTATTTCTTCATCGGAAATGAAGCATTCGGTTTACGATCATATTTAATGCGACCATACTCGAAGCGATATTTAAAATACGATGATCAAAAATTATTTAATTATCGGTAAGTTCTATTTAAGTTAAAACATTTCTAAAATATTTTTAAATAACAACTTTTACAGTCTGTCCCATGCTCGAACGATAATTGAAGATACTTTCGGCATACTTGTAACCGTTTGGCGAATTCTTCAAACAACACTAAGCTTCAAGTTACGAACTTCAATTCTGATTGTGAAATGCTTGTTGTGTTTGCACAATTTTCTATTGTCGAAGGAATCGCAAGAGCCGGAAGAAAATAGGAAGTATGCCACTGAAAAGTTGATGCAAAAAATTAGAGAAAATTACAAAAGCAATAAAAGTAGTAATGAAGATTTTGGAAGAAAAGAAGACGTAGAAGACGTAGATGATGATGATGATGAAGAATATGTAGTAGGAGGAAATGACGATGATGATAATGATAAAGGGAACCGACAAGAAAGAATTAAAATCCCAAGAAAAGTTTGTTCAGAAAGTCAAAAAATAAGGAACATACTATGTGCATATTTTGCAAAACAAAATAATTTGATGTAATGAGATGATTTTTGCAAGTACATTGCAATACAATGTTATTTAACAAGGAAAATATTTATCATCGCAGATCATTATGCATGTTGAAAAAATATTTTGATAAAACATCTTTAAGTTATAAATATTAACTTAATCAAGTAACGAATTTTAATACTGTTCATCATATAATATTGTCCGATTGAAGTTTCTTCAATATCTTAATATTACAATTAATATAATTTAAAAGTAGTGTAACATTTAAAGGTTTTTGATAAACATTTTTATAATTTATATACTTTGAAAACAAAAAAAATTTTAAAACAAGTTAAAGAAAAACTTAGTTACAAATGTAAATTAATAAGGAATCCCAGCATCATGCATAACACATTCCATTTGCTCCATTACATATCCGAAGGCCTGTTTCTTCATTGATTTAGGGATTTTTCTAAATAGATTAATCATCTCCTCTTCATAACCATCTTTGAATGTGGGCTGTGATACACTGCTCACTGCAGATTGACTCTGAACATTATGATTATTTAACAGTAAATTTTGTTTTTTGGCGTAGTAATTAGTAGCCACTTTCGTAAATTTTTCAAATGTATTGACAGCCTCTTCAAATTTCAATTCACATTGATCAATGCTACGTTTATTTCTTCTCGCAAAATTATCTTGAGGAGGATGGATATCTGTGCATAAATAAATATATAAAAAAGATATTATTTCTTAAGTTGCATGAGATTTTTAAAATTTAAATTTAGAAAAATTAGAATTCGATATTTCAAGAAATGTGATTATTATTAATATAATAATTAATGCGACTCAGTTATTGAATTATGAAATATTTATTATTGAAACGAACCTCTTTCAATATTTCCTGTTCTAAGGTGCCCTTCTTGGTTTTGATAGTTTCGAGTAACAATGTTATTAAAGTCTGTAGATTTTTTTGATGGCAAATTTGTAGTTACAATTTGCACTTTTCGTTTTACTGGTAATTTAGCTAAAATAGAAGTTGTTGAAGTTTCAGCTTTTTGAGTTTCCTTTTCCTTAAATTTATCCAATTCTATTCGATCTAAAAGTACTTGCACTTCTCGAATTTTGATACTTGATTTCTTTTTTTTCGATTCATTGTTACTACTATCTAAATGTTGTTGCTGATCCTGCTGGTTTTCATGTGAATTTTCACTGTTAATTAACTTCTGGGAAACAAAAGTATTATTATTAGTTGGAACAGTATTATCGTGATGTTTCTGCAGTTTTTCCTGTAATTGATGATCGTCGCAATGGTTTTGGGCAATTCGTTTTTTATCATTATCTGAAACAATAAGTATGTATACAAGTATAGAATAAAAATTAATGTAAACATTATTAAACTTTAACAACTGAATTGTAATGAAGTTGCTCATAGTCATTCCAACTAACAATTGAAATAATCCATTGCATTTACTTTATATTACATGTATTACTATTATTTAGTAATTATACCTTTGATGAATTCTTCCATTTTTCCACCATTGATATCTCCATCTTCATAAGGAAGAGTATTATTTCCATTATCAAGAACGGAAGTTATTGTTTGTTCTGAAAAAGAATACATATTCTTATAACTGAATAAAACTTGAAAAAACATTAGAAAATATTTAACTTCGCTAGAAAAGCGATTTAATATTACATTTACCTGAATTCTGTTTTAATTCTGTCTTTAATTCATGAAAAAGTTCTCGACTTGAAACAGCAGGAGGATCAGCTAGGGATTGTGTAGAAATTACAGTATTATATGAAGAACAACTTGAGATATTACTTGAATCTTCATTGCTTTTAATCGGTCGCTTAACACCACTAAAAAGTAATTGATTATGCAAATAGAATAATATTGTTCTTTTATTTGATTTCATAATCGAAAATAACAAGACTAAAAGAAAATAATTTCTTCATTCAAGAAAACTTGTATTACAACTGACTGTTCATTTTTAATTCATCTTTTCTTATATTCTATACTTTAAGAAAATGTTTTATTAACAAAATAGAAAATTCAATTTATTTTATATACGATAATTTAAAAGTAGAAGTAATAAAGATCAGAATAAAAATATATGAGTAAATTAGACTATAAATCAAACTAAAAAGGAGTTAGAAATAACAGTAAAAATTGTTAGAGATCATGAAGGACATGAAATCTATGCGAAAGGTATGGGGTTTTTAAATTCTTTTGTAAATCTACTATTTGAACGGCCATGATTTGTAAACTTTAAGCTGTAAACGATTTGAAAATTTTATCCATAAGTATGCATAAAAAAATTACATTTGTAAATGAACGAAAAATAAGGAATATAACTAGAAAAAGTTTTTGAGAAAAGTATACCGAATCTGGAATTTTTTAATATATTTTTTTAAATCCACCAAATTTTATCCTTTATATATAATATAACAATGAAATTCATGTATACCTTTTGTTTTTGTCAACATGGCCAATATGTGGTTGCAAAAAGAATAGTTGTTTTTTATATTTATAATTGATATTCTTTCTATCAGCTCGGACAAATCCATCCCTGATACTGGTCCGTTTCGTTTGAATTTCATCGACTGTACAAGTTATACATATTTTTTAGAATATTATTGCTATAGTTTAACAAACAGTATGACGAAGTAAAAGTCTTGATACTTACCAGTAATTGTATTATAACCCATTTCTTTCATAATTTCACAAATTTCATTCCATGCCTCATTCTTTGATTGAAAATTTCGACTGTATTTTTTATCAAACAAACAGACTTTCTTCGCAACATTTTCTATTAAAGATAAAATTTTATGATCTTCACTTCCTGGTACAGGAGATTCCATTTTCAAAATAATTAAATTTAATATTATATTATGGAAATAATAAAATAATGTAAAAGATTTTCAATATTAAATAATTGAATTAGTAACTTAAAAGATTTGATAAGACTAAAAACAAAAACAAATGTGAAGTTAGATTCGAAACACCACTCATTTAATGTACTGCTGCCAACATGAGGTAAATTTTGTTTCACTTTTTTAAAAACTGCCATTGCTCCATTTAAAGAGAAAATAAGTATATTATATAAGTATTATATATTAATAATAAAAAAAATAATAATAGTAATAATAATAATAACAACAATAGTTATACTAATTGTGCAATTGTTGTTCAAAGAAAGGTTAAATTATATAGTTATAACTAGATAATTTTCAACTACATTTTTCATATTGGACAAATTGTTGAAAGCGAATAAGGAATAGTTATTCGATGTATGCGCAGTGGGAATGCGACTTTACCATTTAACCTAAGAATTCGTACTGACACAATCTGCGTGAATGAGTGTAACATTTCTTCGATAATTATTTACACTAGTTATTTCCATTAATAGATTCATTTTACTTGAAAGCTTTTTCAGTTGACATAAATTTCAAAAAATTACAATGATGAATGAAGAGTTTCCTGTTGTGGATAAAAATTTAATACTTATGGCCTTAGTCGAGAAATCTCCCGTGCTATATAACAAAAAGCTCGATGATTATAGAAATAATGTAAAAAAACAAAAAGTTTGGGAAGAAATTGCCGAAAAGTATGCTTCTATTTTCCATGAAGAAGAAAGTGGTAAGTTTCAAAGGTTCATTACTGTATTATTATAAAAGTTTTATTGGCGAAGAAATCAAACATCACATGAATGCATATCTAGCCAATTTTATAAATATATTGCACAAATAAATAACAGAATGACATTTTTATTGTTTTAACTGTATGTATATGCAAGCTATAAAATTATAATTGTATATATTTTAGACTATAGAACTTTGAAAACGTATTTTTACAAAAAGTCGAATATTGTAGGTTATGTTTATTTTTTTCTATCGGAATCGCTATAAGTTGAGAAAAAAGTAAATGTCTGATAAATTATTCTTTAAGAAAGTCATTAATAGTTAATGCAGTTCAAATAAACAAACACTTTCTTAATATAAATTAATATTTATAATAATTTAAATAAAATTGTAAAACTCATTTTTGTGTCAATCTTCTAAATGTGCATTTGATATGTATAATTCATTGCGTGTACCTATATATATAATAAAATATTTTTGGAAATTAATTTACAAATTTTCTTTATAGTTGATGTTTTAAAGCAAAGGTGGACCTCACTCAAAAAACAATTTATAAAGGAACAAAAAAAAAAGGAATAAATATGTTACGACTGGATTAGGAGCTGCAAATAACGATGCGACTATATGGAAATTTTATTCGGGCATGTCTTTTCTCGAACTTCATGTCTAAGAATAATGAATATAATTGAAAATGAGCCTTAATCCTATTTAAAAAATGATGAAAGCATATTTTAAATAATAAAAAATTATATTATTGTTTTTTTAATTAAGCTTACTGGCCATTTATAATTATAATTTCTAAAGTTTAGTTTGCTAATTGTAATAAAATAAAAATATTGATACTTACCTCAGTGTGACTTCTTTTAATGTAGAAATGGGTTCCTGATAAGTTGCTAATTAATTTACAATTGTCAGATATATTTGTAACTTTTAAATATTGTTTAAACAGGGTTGCCACAAGTCAGAGAATTCAGGGAAAAGTCAGGGATTTTTATTAAAAGTACTGGAAAAAATTAAATTTTTAGAATTTATAAGAAAATTCTGAACTTTTGTGTCTTTTTTGTTTGAATTTAAATAGAAATTTTAAGAACAACTAATTACAAAAATTAAATTATTTTTAAAAGTGATGAACTTCTTCGCATAAATTCAATTAAATTGAAAAATATTTTAAAATCCTCGTCAAAATTTCAATTATTTTTAATATCTGCTGACTTAAAAAATTTTTCCAAAAGAATTCTACTATTTAAACGAAATTGTAATAAAAATTTAAGAGGAATTCAATTACTTACCAATTTTTTGTAAATTTCTTCGCACAAATTCAAGTATTTTTAATTTTTCAATAGAGAGAATTGAAAAAAAAGTTGTAAGAAATTCAATTATTTCGAAAAATTTAAATAAAATTATTTTAAAAGTTCTATTATTTTAAAAATTTTTGACAACATTCTTTACAAGACTTTGCAAATAGTTCAATTATTTGCGCAGATAATACATTTTTTATGGAAGTTCAATTATTTAAAAAAATTTTAATAAAATTCTTCGTTAGAAATCATAAACTACAATTATTTTCATAAAATACAACATTCATCCTAGGAATACAATTATTGACAAAAATGTTTGTAAACATTTTCTAAACAATTCAATTATTATTCTTAAAAAAGTAAAATTCTTCGAAACAATTGAATTATTTAAGAAATTTTAATAAATTTTTTTCAAAAATAAACAATTTTACAGGAATTCAATTATTTAAAAAAAATTTTTTTAATTCTGAGAAATTCAACTATTTAAAAAAATTTGAATAAAATTCTTCACAAGAAATTAATTATTTTAATAAATAATAATATTTTTCTCCGGAATTCAAATATTTTCACAAATAAAATTCTTCACAGGAATTCAATTCTTTAAAAAAAATTTTAATAAAATTTGTTGCAAGAATAAATTGAATTATTTTCATAAATAACAAAACTTATCGCAGAATTTCAATTATTTTTTATACAATTTTAAATAAAATGACAGAAAATTGCATTTATTTTTACAATCTTTTTTTAAAATTTGCCGAAAAAATTCAATTGTTATTAAAAATTTTGATAAAAT